ATTTAAAAAAACCATCGTGACCCCTGAATGACCTTCAAAATGACCTTCCAAGGATTTTTCAAGGTCAGTACCATACTTCCCCCGTGTAACCCTAAACTTTTCATACGAAACATTTTTCTCTATCCCTACAAGTTTTCGAGATATTTGACTGGATCACTTCAGATGGTCCACCCTGTATATATATAAATAAGAATAAGAATAAAAATGCTAAGCGAAACTTATCTGATGTGAGCACCAACACGAAGACGATTTTATTAACACAACCTCTCAAAATATACCGCACGTATAATGCCGGAGACGATAGCCAGTTCATCGCGAACTTATCACCTCTATACTGCATCATGATATTTGTGTATATATAACAAGGAGAAATGAAATGATATACGAAAAATGGAAAAGAGACCAAATTAAGACGACAGAAGGAAGACGAAAGAAAGAATAGAGATAAGAGACGAGAGATGGTATATGAAAGAGATAGAGAGGTAAAGAATTGGATAAGAAAGGAGGAAATGAGAGAGAGAGAGAGAGAATGAAAGACAGGTGAGAGAATTGTTAATTTTGAAATTTAATTCTTTTTTCCAAAGTAGAAGGTAAAACTGCAATGTGTAAGAAGTTTAGCTGAAAAGAATAGAATTTAAAAAATGTTTACGCACACACACACATAATAAGATTCCTCTAAAATTATTGTGCATGTAAATGTTTACACTTATCAATCAAGAAATTAATAATTCGAGATATTTTATGATTTATTTTGATAGATTTTGGTATAAAATATTTATTTAACAAACTGTTAAATATCAAACTGTATATTTTTTATTAATGACAAGAGAAAGATGTGAGCTGCGAGACAAGATATCGGAAATGAGAAAGAGACGAGAAGAGATAGAGAGAGACAAGAAGAAGATGAGAAATAGAGACTAGAGAAAACCATAGACGAGACGAAAGAAAGAAGAGAGATTAAGAGAGAAAGAGAGGGGGGGGGTGAGAGAGAGAGAGAGGGGGGAGATAAAAGTCGAAAAAAATACCAGGGCTGCGTTCAGAGTCGTCGTTCGGATGCACGTACATGTCGTATTATTCGTGTTATAAATCGTCGTTCGGATGCACGTACATGTCGTATTATTCGTGTTATTAACGAATATTAAACAAGGATAATAGAATATCTGGATGCATCCAGAAATAATTCTGAACGCAGCCCAGGAGACACAAGAAACAGAACGCAATGAGATGGAGGATAGGGAGACGAGATCAAAGAGATAAATGTTAGAAAATCGAGGATAGGGAGACGAGATCAAAGAGATAAATGTTAGAAAAACGAGACAAGGCATCGGAAATGAAAAAGAGACGTGAGACGAGAATGAGACAAAAAGATGAGCGTAGAGATAGAGGCAAGAGTGAGATCGAAAGGAGACCAGAGATGAGACAAAAGAGAGATGAGAGCATAAGAGAGAGAAATGAGATGGAAGTCGAGAATGCTACCAAAAGGAGACAATTAATGAGACGAAAGACGAGATGAGATGAAGAATAAACGTGAGATGAAAGACAGAGTTGAGAAGAGAGAGAGAGAGAGAGAGAGAGAGAGAGAGAGAGAGAGAGAGAGAGAGAGAGAGACAAGGTGATGTGGAAACGATAGTGTTCTTTATTATTTTCCCGCTATTGAAGGAATAAAAGAAGGTTTTTGTTGAAAAAAACGAAGAAATTTTTTCGTTCACAGCTATTCTATGTTACACATTGCTTACTATGAAACTTGAATAAGTAGAAAAAATTTAAATAAATAAATAAATAGGATAAATAAATAAATAAATAGAAATAAATAAATTTGAATTGAATTAATAAAAACATGAAAGGCGCGCGCGTAGCGCGCGCTGCAAGCTAGTCCTTTCTAAAAAAGGAGATGTTAAATTGATACTCGAATAAATCGAAGTTTATTGTTGTCGCTTTTCCGTGACGCTGATTGGTTCTCTCGCTGCGTTTACTTCGCGAGTGCCTGTCATTGTCAAAATTGCGTGTTTTGACAGTTCTGTATGTATCGAGACAATTTGTGTAATATTAATTATTATAAATATATTTGTTTCTTTTATGAGAGTCGGTAAAGATTTCTTTAATTTTAAGATAGTTTCAAGATAGCTTCAAGATAGTTTCAGATAAGTTTTATTAAACGTTTTTATTACAACCTAAATATCTTAACCCAGTAAGCAAAAAACTTTTAAATAACATTTAAGATGTTGATTTTATGTGTATTTTGTGAATGTGTTTTGAAGTTATTTTGTACAAATATTTCAATAAGGTTATTTGATAGTAATTTTTGACAGTAATTTATAATTTTCGTACAAACATTTCAAAAAGATTATTTGATACATGATTTTTTTAAAAACGTTAAAATGCTTTAAAAACATTATCTCCAAATCATTGTCAAAGTTTATTTATTTTGATGTCGTATACAACGATAATACACAATATATTATAGATACTTTGATACTTTGTGTAATATTATAATTTCAGTTTGTCGCTTTCGTTTAACGTTTCATGTGTTGTACGAAAAAAAAAAGAAAGGAAAGGAAATCAGTAATGAAAGAAAAAAGGAAGGAATGAAACGAGAAAAAAAAGAAAGGAGGAAGAAAAATAGGAGTTTACAAAATAAAATATGAAGAAGAAAAAGAAAGAAGATTGTAAGAAGGCAGTAATATTTTTATTTTCAATCAGTAGTTTTCTTTTTAATGTTATATACGCTGTTTGCATTACCTTTATCGCTTCTTCGTAATGTTAGATAACCTATTATGTTTACGGGAATTTTTTTAGTGATTGTAAAAACAGTCAGGGAAGGGCAGGAATTACAAGTAATTGCTGTTAATCGTTACTTTTATTTTTTTTATTTTATTCATATGTAATACGCGATCAGCATTATGTAGCATTGTATTAAAGGAAAAGAATGAAATAACGAAATAAGAAAGAAAAAAAAGGAGAAAGCAAAATGTTTAAGAAAGGAACAGATTAATAAAGTTATAAAGGAATAGATTTTTTTATTTTGACAGTTAAGTGTGTTATTGTAAATTAAATAATAATAATACTAATAGTGTAATATTAAATTTGTTTATTCACAGAATATGTCATAATTATATTTGGGTCTAAGTGAAAGCTTTATTAATTAAGTAAATTCAAAAGTAAATTTTAACATATATTAATACACATACCTTTTCTTGTTTTTTCGTTTTTCTTGTTCCTTCATTTCTTTATATATCTGTATCTGTATTGTATCTATTTCTGTGGGTGTGTATACATATGTGCGTGCGTGTGTGCGGATATGCTGATGGCGGATCACATGGATGTGTGGATGGACGTACGTGCGTGAGAATTTATAGGTATGTGGTAGTATGTATGGATATGCATGTGTGCAGACGAGTATGCGTGTAGGCATACATGTAGATTTATCGCTGCAACATTGCAGGTATTAGAAATTGTAATATATAATACATATTATGCGCAAGATAATATAGGCGCAAGATAACATAACATAACATAACATACTATAACATTAGTACTTTTTTTGCACTTTTTTTATTTATATTACAATTATATTTCAAATTATATTCAGTAATAATAAAATAATTATTACTAGAAATTTAAAATGCCTATTACGGTCGAAGCTGGATCTTCGTTGCTTTAAATAATTCAATCTTGAATTACTAATATATACTATATATGTACTTGCATATATACCATATTGTAGTCTTTTTCACACACACACGCACACACACACACACACACACATACACACACACACACACACACACACACACACACACATATATTATATATTAGTAATTCAAGACTGAATTATTTAAAGCAACGAAGATTCAGCTTCGACCGTAATAGGCATTTTAAATTTCTAGTATTGATTGTGTTTCTCACATATACGATCTAAAATAAAAATAATTATTTTTAATAATAGTTGCAGATACATTGCGCTGCAATATTGCTACGACATTACAGCGCAATCTTGCTGAAGGCGGACATTTTTATGATCCATGACATTGCAACAAGGTTGTAAATACATTGCGCAGTCTATAGGCAATATTACAACATTGCAATGTTATGAGATATATCTGCAATCATTTTGCAATCTTTCTGTGCTGTATGGGTATTGGTTTTCAAGAAAAATGAAAGGAATTCATAGAAAGAACTAAAAAGATAGTTAAAAGAACGAAAAGAGTTATAAAAAAAGCATAATACTGTATAGAGCAAAGTTAGTATTCATTATACTTGTGTCTTCATGATGTATTTTATTTTCTTTGCAGAAAAATGATAACATTTTCTTTCTCTCATGAAAAAGGAAGGACTCATAGAAAGAAAAATAAAAGAAAAAAGTAAAAAGAAGGAAAAAAGTATAAAAGGAAGCATAATGTTATATTCCCATATAGCGTAGAAGATTGCAAAATGATAGCAGATATATCTCATTGCAACGTTGTAATATTACAAATAAATTGCGTGATGTATTTGCAATTGTTGCAATTTATAGTATCATAAAAATGTCCGCTTTCAGTAAGATTGCGCAGTAATGTCGTAACAATGTTGCAGCGCAACGTATTTGCAACTATTATTAAAAATAGCTTTTTTATTATTACTGAATTTGAAATACAATTTGAGATATAAATACAAAAATGCAGAAAAAGAACTAATCAATATATATTTTACATTACATATAATTTTATATATAATCTTATATAATTATTATATTTTATACTCAATTGCAAATTTTATATGCAGGTATATATAT